AGTAGTAGAGTATCTTGGCAGAGTCTTGAAGCATTAAAGTTTGTTTTTTTTGTTTAATCCAGAACCTGTTTTATAACATTCAAAAATGTTCCTTAACATTGTGGAAAAATTAAAACATTGGTTTATTGAGTTGGTTTGGCCTTCTTAGTATGGAAGCAAATCGTTACCATATTTCAAATGAAAAAGCATTTTCAGAAATGCTTTTTCATTTTAAGAATGTGGCTGCATTGTTTGACTCATAAATGAAATTAGTAATCAATAATCATCTGACTTGGATAAATGAGTGATTAGCAAGCTCCTGCTGCCATTTATTGCTGTTGAGACGTTAATGCAATCAACTGATTCAGGAGTGCCGGATCAGGACATGCTGTTAGTGTTGTTTTGACCTTCTGACCTTTCTAAATCCTTTCCTCAAATTTAAACTGCCTGTTATGTTCTGGGAAAGGTTTTAAGTGAACTGATAAAAGACAGCTTTTCTTTAGAAATAGGTAAACTTTACCAGTTTTAGTTTTGTTTTCCACATCAGCAAAAAATGTTATATAAGAAGGGGAAAAGGGTGTATGTCCTTCTATGTTTGTATTCCAAGCTAAATCGGGCATTGCTTTAGTTTTAACTGCTTCAAAATCTATAAAACAAATCTGTTTATTTTAAAGAAGGAGTGGTGGCCTAGTGGTTTGGGAATAGAGCTTGGAATACAAAGGTTCTGTGTTTCAGCCCAACTCTAACAGACTACCACTGTGGGTTCCTGAGCAAGACTCTTAACCCCCGATTGCTCCTCGAGCGCCGCACAATGGCAGCCCACTGCTCCCCACGGGATGGGTTAAATTCAGAGGTAAATCTTTCCGATGTGAGATCCATAAAGTTCAATTATTATCATTATTATTATTAACATATAAGGCGGCTTTTACTATCCGATCATTAGTGGCTTTACCATAAAGAAATAAATAAAAGATTTAGGGATTAGCAAAATATTGCTTAGTTCATGTCCTATTTTTAACAATTTTATAGGAGACTGTATGATTCCCAGGAGTTTGTTCCTGGAGCACTTTAAATCTCATCCCATTTTAAGGACTATTCATTTCAGGCAACCATGCAGTCACCTCTACAAACACAACACATGCATCCTTGAAAGCAAACCCTACTTTTCTAAGCCCGGCTCCTCCAAGGCTTCCCCTTATTTAGAATATAAATCTCCTGCACATTTCTTGGCAAATCTGTCATGTAGGAGAAACAGCTGTTTGTATGAATCTTTAATGTGCACCCACACTGGCATGACATTTCAATAGATGAGTATGATTTAAGCAGCTTTAGGTCCAGGCCCTCTCAGAATGTCAAATACCTTATTCAGTGGAGAGCAACACTTTAAAATGTTGCAGATGAGTACGAGGAAAACAACTGAAGTGAGAGCATAACTGATGGTTACAGTTAAATAGGGACAGTGCAGAAGCAGAGTTAATCAATTTGTGTGTTTTACAGCTTCCAATCCAATCCAACTTTATTCATATAGCACTTTAAAAAGAAACATTAGGACCAAAGTGCTGCAAGAAAGCAGAAATACAAACACCATAAAATCCACTAAGATTAATAATTTTAAAAAACTGTATAAAATACATAAATAAATAAAAACAATTTATATAAAAATAGTCACAAATTTTCCTAGGTGCTCAAAGCGGCGGGCGTGGAAGCCCAAAATGCTGCATGGACCTGGCAGACGCATCAAGCATAAGCTTTATGTTGCAATAGTCTTAAAATGCTGGATGACACAGGGACTACTTGTCCTTACTCTGCATCATCTCTAGTCTCCATTCTTGGAGTATTTGTTGGGTCAACTCCAGACTTTATGTTATCTCTCCTTTTCTCAACACAGTAGCTTCATCTGGGCCGTTCCTGTTCAGCTGCGACTCCACCCTGGCGGGAGGCATCAGCTTTACTGCTTCCCTCAACGAAATCCCATTACAGATGGCAGAGTTGGGCTTGTTTTTAAGTGATTAGTCCTGTTTCTCTTTTACTTTGACAACTCTATGTGCTGCTATCCACTTGAACCACAGCCAGCCTCAGCAGAAAGCTGGCTGTGGTTCAAACGGATACTCTTCATTGTATCTGCATGTATACATGCTTGGTTTAAAGGAATTGCTGTAGAGTCCTGCAAAGTGAATTACTGGAAGCAATCAGATGTTTTCCTTAGTTGGAAATATTTTAACCAGTCCGGCTGCAATATCATTGAATTGTACCTGTACAGTGTTTTAAGGTGATGTAAGCTGATCATTATAAATAAACTACAATGAATCATATAAGTTAGGAGTAAATGTGATTTATACATGGATAAAGTAAGCAACTCTCCTCGCAGGTTCTCCCCATTGCACTATACTCATGGCTGCCAGCCCAGCCCTGCTGTTACTCATCATAAGCAGCACAGCTCATACAACTGTTTCTTGACTCACTTTTCCTGCACACGCTAAAATGTTGGAGATTATGGTGAAATGTTTTCAGATATTTAGTCCATTCTATTAGCCATTCAACTTGTAATTTTACATTTTTTTAGCTCACAATAGTATTTTAAGTTCCAGAAACTTTGCTGGGTTAGTGAGTTTTAGACATCACTTAGATGTTTTGATGGAACCAGTTTCTAAAAATGTTTTGTGTTACCTAGTAGTAACGTGTCACTATAACTAATTAATTTTTCAAATCAATGTTGCAGGCACTGCTGACTTTGTCATTTGGGAAACTTTTTTGGGGGGAAAACTTTGCTTCTAGTTCCATCTTTCTAAAATCCATAAAAATGTATGATTTTGTTTTGGAAATAATAATTCAGCCTCATTAAACTAGTTTTACATCCCAACATTTAATTTTTCCCTGCTTTAGAAGAGATGCATTATCTTTTGTTTCATAAGATATACTTTCATTGAAACTCTTGTTACATCTCTAATTTCATATTACTTGCCTCATCAAAACGTAACTTAATAACACCAAATTAAAGCCTCTACAGTCCATGAAGCTGCTTTTGTTTATTGCTTTTCAACACATGTAAACACTGAAATGTGATGCTTATTATTACGACAGCAGAGGTCCCTGTGATGGAAGCTGATAGCTCAGAGCTGACCTCTTACTCTGCCATGATGAAACTCACTTCTTCAGCACACCAATAATCAAACAGAATGGTTGCAGAATGATACGCAGTGGGAAGATCAGAAAAAAAAGCTTGTGCAAAAGCTTAAACTCATATTCAGCCGTTATTCTGGAGGCTCAGTGAAGCCGCACACGCATGGGCTCCTTAGTTGGATATTTACTGTAGTAACAGAACAGGACATTCACACTTCACAGGACGTTTCTGACTAAATTAACGTAAAAGGTAAACATGACAACCTTGCGGTCCAGTCTCGCACAGAAGGATAGTATGCATGTAAATATGCCCGCAATTGTGCAGCACATGGTGTGCCCAAAAAAAAAAGGAAAAAAAAAAAAAAAGAAAAATAATGCATTAAAGCTGAAGTCTGTAAGTTTTTAAAAATCACTTTTTTGTCATATTGGCTAAAACTGTCCCTATGCCCAGACAGCAGTACATGTGATATGTAACCTGTGAAAAAAACTGCTTCAATTGGTCCCGCCTACTGCCTGTATTTCAATCTGGAAAGAATAATTCGGGACGAGTCAAAACAACCAATCACAGCCAGAGGAGCGTCTGATGGAGTGTCAATCACAGCTCACACACGCTGAATCCCGCCCCCTCCCTCTCACCGCTGAACCTGCCACTGCCGCCCGGCTGCCGCAGTCAGGAGGACGCGCGTGGAAGTCATGGCGGAGCGACAGCCACCAGCGAAAGAGAAACTGCCCTTACTGCCCCTGCTGACAACTGCTTACACGGCAAAGACTTCAAAAAAGAAGATGTCAATGGAAGAGCTGCCACGTACGCTGCTTGGACGCTTCTGGTCGCATGCGGTAGCCGCGCAGGTGCTGTGAGAGGGGTGGAACTTGGAGGTGGGGCATGAGTGAAGCAGAGAGGGTGGGGGAGTGGCGTGAAACCTGTTTTTCTTTAAATTTTCAGTCGAAGTCTGCTCTCTTTTCAATGTTACAGACTGCAGCTTTAAAGTACAAATACTGGGTGGTGACTTCTTCTCCTAAGTAGCAGCATTGTCCTGCCAAAGCTTCCGACTTGGTAGTTTCAAATTCACAACCTTGCTCTTATGGTGCGTTCACACCAAACCCATTTTGAGTGTCAAAAATGTGTCCAATGTCTGAACTTGGAAGATTGTGTGTTTTAAAGTTAGATGCTCTGAAAGCCTTGAGCTCCTGTTTTCCTTTCCTAGCAATAGAGAGAGTGTGTTTGGCCTTATAAGCTATGATTTTAGAAATGTGTATTTTTAAGTTTTTAGGTGTAAAATTCTACCTTAGTAATTCATCTGTGCAGTCAGTTCATCAGGATTATCATCCTACCAAAATATTCTGTTCTTGTCCAGAGAGGCAGACCCCCTGTATACCATTAGGTGACAGCTCTAGGATTTGTCAATGCTGTATGCACTAGTTGAAAGTGAATATAAAGCCATTTTTAATTTTGTGATGAAAAAAAAATCTGTAAGTACCGGAATGTAAAGTTGATTATGATTTGTTGGCAGGTTAGCAATTTTCTTAGTAAAAGTAGGTATTTATAAAGTTCTTTGCCAAAGTTATATATTTATAATGCTTGCATGTAGTGTCTGTCTTCACTACACTGAGTGACTGACTGCAAAGGTTCAGATTTCCCATCTCAGAAAATCTAAACTTTTGACTGCACAAAAAAGTGCTACTTTTGACACAAGAATCGCCACTCCTGTCACTTAAATTGTGTGGTTGGACCTCTTGAAGCTGCTTGATGCTGTCTCCAATAGACTTTGCATTTAAACCAAATGTCCTGATGATCAAAAGCCTTTGGTGAATGCACCTGATGTTTATTGACCTATGTGTTGCTCAACACAGGTCAAACATTTGAATTTTAAAACTTTCCCACTTTTAATCAAGTAATTCTCAACCTCTTTGCTGAGAGTATAATAAACCAGTGTCTGCTCAAAGCAAATTAGTTTTTATTGCAGCTGAGCTGTGAGCTTGACGCTGTTTACCTTTCTTAAAGTTCCCCCCTCTGTGTGTGAACAGTTCTTTTGGGAAAGCAAACGAAGGCAGCTGTCGCAGAAAAAAACTCATTTGCAGCACATGCGGAAAACAATTGAAGTAGAGGAGGGATTACCTTAAGAAGTTCAGATGTGCTTGTAGGAGAGACTTTGAGGGGTGGCATGGACGGGACTCATCAACACGTCTGCTGCTTCAGTACCTGGCAAACACAAACATGCTGTGATCACATATCATTTAGCATTGTGCAAACAGCAGTAATTAAACCTGGAAGTTAAAAAAGGGGGACAACACAAAGAGCACATGGGAAACACTAGATTCAAAAAGTTTGCACAGATATTGTTCCAACTCACAAAACCCACACCGTACTCGTTCACACCCACGGGGGCACCAAACTGTGCACACAATGAAAGAATAGCCTTAAAAACCCAGAGCAGCTGTAGGCTTGGCAGACTGCATCTTCTGAAGCCTTACTGTTTCAGCTGAATCTCCAGAGCCCCCTGAGGAGAAGACTGCTCTGCCCAGGATGTCCAGGAACGTTAACTGTCGCTGTCTGTCTTCCCGCTCAGACACTGACGGCTCTGATGAGGACGCGCTGTGCTCCTATTCCGGGGCAGGGTAATTGGCTAGAGATGATGGGCCATAAACATACATCAGAGGGGCTGCGGAGCGCCAAGCAGACAGCTAACTAAGGCTCTCCTTCTGCAGAGTGGCTCTTGTTTGTCGTGTGCACATGTACACACACGCTCTTCATTGTCTTGCTCTCCCTGGGCAATTCACGCTCTTTGAACACATTGGCTGGCCCTTCGCAACTGTAGCAGGGAGAGCAAACCTACCACTCCCCTCAATTTATCATGATAAACCCACTTTGGCACACTCTGTATATATTTCTCACCATTTTCTCAGCATTATGACCATGCCCAGCTCCCCCGGATGCTCTTTTCTGCCATAATAGTCCACTGATATATTACGGTAGCTCCAGTTTAAAATGCCTCATCGCCATAACAGATAGGGTGCCCTCTGTCTTACCATTACTACCAGAGCAAGTTGGTGGGTAATAGGCTATCCGTTCCTATGGTGCTATCACCGCCTTGCAGACTTTCCATCCCATTACCATTGCACAGCGGTCATAATAAGCAGGGAGATTCCGACAGTCAGGACCACAGCTGTCTTAGTGGAGGTCAGTCATGTGAGTCTCTAGTGGTTCAGAGAAAACAGGACTGAGTGAGGAAGTATAAGGTGTGCCGTTTCTTTTTTTTTCTGTCAGAACGATTAATAAAGTCACCCTAAAAACAGCTAAAAGACCTGTTAGAATATGGCTGGAGGGGTGCACACTTGGGAAAGGTTTTTAACTTTTAATTATGCCGCCATGCTCAGCATACAGTTTTTTATTTTGTTTCAAGATGGACTAATTAGACAATTTTCCGCTTGATCGACCGTGAGGTATGGTTTGCCAACAGAGGCTGATTCAAACGGCAATTTAATATTATGGATTTCTGCACCATCTTGCCCTTCTGTGAGACCCTGATATTAGGAACCTTTCGGGGTAGATAGTTGGAGCGATAATCCTGCCATGTAGTGTCTTTATAGTGTTAAGTATGTTGTGACCCTCCGATCACAGATCAGGGAATTCCAACAAGTTGGATAGTCTTGGACCGATATTCTAAAACCAGCTAGAGAATATTATAAGGTAGGATGATAATCCTGGTGACCTAACTGCATGGAGGATGTTTTGAGGTGTACTCCCTCCCGTCAATCATTTTATTTCCCCGTCACCACATCAAAAAAAGCAAAGCCACTTCCTCAATTGCCTCTGCCATAGTCGACTCATCTGTAAAAGGCTGGAGAGAATGCTGTACAACCAAAACTGTTCTATCCATATTTTTTTTATTGCCATGTGTTGGGCATCTTAAGTTTTGAAAACCACTCAACAATTTTGAAATCCATCTTTGAGAAAATGATCAAGGTTTTATTGTATTTTTTCCCCCCTTATTTTGTTTTTAGCCAAATACTGTAGGTTAGGCAGCAGTACTCTGTGAGGATTATTTTTCTCAAAATCTGACATTTTCTTTATCAGAAACTGGTTTAAAAGTGAATTAAAAACAAGGTAAGTTCTGTAAAAAGCTGTTTGAATAAAACCATGTTTTCAGTAGAGGTGAATTTTCATTTCTTTTGTTCATTTTGTTTGCCACTCAAGTAGTTATCAGCACTTCAGTAGATGACATGGACGTATTCCAGCAGGGTTGCTGTTTTTTTATATTTTATTTCTGTCTGCATACTGGATTTGGAAATGTTGCTGGTTATTTGGGAAACTCGGATACATTCGGGGACTACATTGGTGGGATAAACTCTAAGCGCTGCTAATCACCCTGTATTTTTTTGTGTCAATGCTTAAACACAACTGGGTTAAAAGATTAAATCCTTAGCAGGACTTTGTAGAAAATGATGACATTTGACAAAGTAAATAAAAATCGAGGAAATCAACAATAAACAGAACAGTTTCAATATTTTGTCATTTCACTGTGACATTGTTGAAGGTGGATGAGCTCCAAAAGACCAGAAGGCTAACGACCTATTCTCTCATACAGCAAGTGATTGTTAACCTGGGAGTAGCTAGATTTATATGTGTAGAACTGATCTGAGTTCTACGTTAACAATCTGGGATGACATACATTCAGTCTGTCCGTGAAAAGGAGGGACGTTTAGTACAATACTGCGAGAATGACATGACAGCTAGTATCTGCTTTCCATAATAGAATTGTGACGTTTCAGACTTAATAGCTTCGGCAACTTGGCCGTCCACGATAGCGACCAATGGAAACACAATGATCATAATGAGATTTCTTTGTGACGAGAAAATGACGCTATTTTAGCTAAAACCGAGTTAACTGTATCGGCAGGTGAGTCCTCCAGCTTTGCCATGTGTGTAATGCTTCAGCAAGGTTGTTCTGACGGCCGTCATTCCTACGTGTCCGCCCTAAAAAACACTGCTGGCATGTCATTGGTCCGACTCACTGGTTGTTACGAGACAGACATATTAGCAGGAATCCTTTAAGATGGATATGTTGTGACACTGAAAACTCAAATCTTGCGACAATCCAGCTTGCAGCGCAAGGTAAAGTGATTTTAGCAAACAAACACTCAAAATATTTGTGTCAACATTCTGTAACCTGATAATAACAAACTTTTTTTTTTGTCAATGAATGCTGCACCTTTAAAAAAATATTTTAATAATTTTGCTGTTTTCTGATTTTGTTTTCAAAAAATATATAATTTCAAATTTAGTTTACATATCTATTTTTTATATTTCGTTACACAATCTATTTTAAAAGTTTACATATTTTCATATTGCATTGAAAAATAAATTCAGGTTATATGTTTATTTTTTTTTTTCAAATTCTGTTTTTCACATTGAGTTTTATGAACTGCGTTCTTTTCAAATTGATTTTACAGATGACATATTTTATACTGGGGGAGGATTTCCTCTGGATTGACAAGAGAAGACACATTTCTGTTAGTCTGCTGGACATTAGCAACAACATTTTTATTGGTCATATCAACAGCAAGCTTTTGTTTGGGCTTGAAGTAAAGACTGTGATTTGAAAAGCAATTTTGTAAAAGTGCAATTTGTAAAATCCAATCAGATTGTTTTTTAACAAAAGTAAATATATTGATTCAATCATAAAAAAAAAAAACAGTTTGAAAAATAAATGTGAATTGAAAAATAGAAAAAAGAAAAAAATTATCTGGGAACACAGCAGGCTCCCTCTTCACCATTTTATGAACGTTCATGTCTGAACTGCATTCTTTTTCTTCCAAATTTCAGTCTACAAAATGTGTTTTTTGCAACAATAAAGCAACAGAATTCACTCTATACAAACCCACAATCAGCTCTTCAATGAACTGATAAGGCAGATGGATCCAGCCACCAGACTCAACCCCATCATCATGATATTAACCTTGTAAAGTGCTATATTGTAAATGTGTCCTATATGGTGGTCGTTTTCAGAACCAGCCCTAGAAGCCAAGATAGTATATCAGAAGAATCTGGCTTTAAATCATAATAATGCTTAAAGACTGCATTGAAAGAGAGAGAGAAACCTTCTACAGAAATTGAGACTGTAGAAGGTTTGTGCAAACTCTCCAAATGCTGCTCCGGAATAAAGTGTTTGTCTTTCCCAGCACAGCTTCTCCACAATTATCCAGGGCTTCCCAATTAGGATTTCCCAAAATGAAGTCAAATTTTGGAAGTGTTTCTAGGACTTCATTTTTTTTATTCTTCAGACACAATTGGCAACCTGGAGACCCGGCCCCATCATCAGTAAACAGAAATTTCAAGGAGCAAAGTATATCTGACGGCAAGAAGCGAGAGAGCGAGAGACAGAGCAACATGCTCATTATTCAGAGAGACACTCGAGGCCACAGGAAATGGCACACTTCATTTTTCTTGTCAAACTTCTCCTGGCTTAATGGCATGCTCACAGCAAGTGTTGAAGCAAAGGGATGGCACGGCCGAGACGTGGAGAGCAGGCCTATCGCGACGACCGCCACCGCCCCAAACTCCTCCCAGCGGCAGACCACCTGTGTTGCCGAAGCTGCTGAAGGTCTTTTTTTACGTCGGCAAAATAAAAGCCTCATCCTTCTGGAATGTAGACAGCGAGTACAGCGTGGGGCAAGCTTTCGCAGCCCAACATGAAATATTGTCTCAATTACAGTCTAACTATGGAGAGGCACAGATGCTCCTATTGTTTCTCCCTTTGCACATCCTCCAGAACCGTCCCTCATTATTGCCTTCATTACCGGTGCCATCGATATGGCAGACGGCTGCCAGAAAACCTAGATGTATCCACAACTCATGATGCAAACACCAATTAATCATCCGTCTAGCAATTACACAATGTTCCTTGTATTGATTTCAAACACTGACACTTTCTGTATTTAATTTATATGCTAGCAGCTCCGACCACAGAGGGAAACAGAAGGCATGCAAAGCAATCTCTCTCCATAACCAACAGAACCGGAGCTGTGTTTTGATCTGAGAAATGATGGGGCAGGTGTTACGGTACGGCCTCATTCCACTGCGTTCCAATTTTAAGGCATGGCAGTGGGCTGCGGTGTCAGACAGCCTCTTTTGTTTAACTCCTAATTGGAGTAATTTATTGTCCTAACAGGCAGAGCAGCTGTAGCTTTACAGCATCGCAC